ATGATGAAGATGATGATTCAGTTGATTTTCATGATGAAGATGATGATAAGTAATTTATTGATTTTGAAGAAGAAAAAGATGATGATGTTTCGTCAGTTGATATTGAATCACACGATTCCATTTAAAAATAATTGTTTTGCTTATTTTGTAAATTTTTTGTAGATATAATTAATCGTACCACACCAATTTTTTTCCTTCCTTCATTCAGTACATTTCGAGATAAGCTTCTATGCAATTGATATAAATCTCTAATACGGTATGTGTGAACTACAGTAACATCTAGATACTGGACTAGTTTTCTTTTAACAACTTCACAAGGAAGTGAAGGACATTTTTTAAATAGAGGGACATTTTTCTAAGGGACATTTTTTCAAGGACAAAAATCTGAAGGACATTTTTGCTGAGAACGAAATTCGAGGACATTTCGTCCAAGGACATTTTCAAAAGGACATTCTGGACGTAATTCTGCCCATTTCGTTTATATAACCAATATTATTAATGATCGCCCACGAGAATAATAATATACTTTTTTTAATAGTCTAAATCAACAATAAACAAATAATTGAATGAATAAAAGAAAGAATAAGATTATTTCTCTCTTTGTTATTGTCGTCCAAAATATTTGATAGCATGAACATTTATAACCATTGAGTGTTATTTTATTCTGTTATTACGAGAATTATATTTTATGCGACCAACAAAGAGTTTCGTTTTATTATTTCATATTAATAGACTGCATTATCAAGGTAGCTAACATAATATATGACTTGATAATAACTATTTATTAAAATAAATATAATTGCTTGTCACAAGTATCTTTGGCTTGTTTTAGAAAATTATATACATTCTAGTTAGATATTGACTGGCATAGTACTATTTTGGAAATTGAGAATATTTGTAATTTGAATAACTGTCTATTATAATCATCTTATAGCTGTTTACTTTTTCTGATCTTGTTTTAGTCTTTTTGTTCTATATGTCACTAAACTAATGAACAAAAACTTTCTGTTGCAAGTATTGCTTGATTCTTGAAAAGTTAGTAGAAGTTATAGAATGATATAGAACATATATTCAAAATTTGCATTTCATAAGTCAATGTAATTTATTCATTCTACAGATCATAAAAATTAGAGAAAAGAAAATCAAATAATTAATACCATATGGTAATAGTTAAACTAGTGGTGTATCCAGATGGGAACTAGAGGGAGCTCAGCTACCTCACGAAAATTTCTATTTTTGTAATTTTGCTAATTAACATCCTTATTATTGGCAGAATGCAGTGTGGTTTATTTTATTTCTATGTAGTAGGATATCAAAAGATAATCAATAATTACTCGTTCTTTGAACCTTTAGACAGTTCTTGTAAACAAGTATGTAAAAGTGAGTATAAAGTCAAAAAAGCAATACATTTAAAAAGATAAGCATGCAAAAGAATGGTTAATTTAATTATACCTCGTGAAGAGTGAGTCCTTTTGCGGTTGCATTTTTTATTACAATAAAACACTTTTTCACTGAGCACAGAACGTGAATTCATGCAAAAATAATAAGAGAAAGACTTTTGATTCTTATTTTTCTTTATCTGCTCGAAAGAAAAGTAAGCCTATACATCCGAACTTTGATGATAATATCAATAATGAAAATGTTAGTTTACAATTATTTGATTCATATGCATCCGTCACTAATGACGAACTTGCTACAACTTATCCAATGAAATCGTCTAAAATCAGAGATGAAAAATCTGCCAGTGTGCGTGAACACACATTTAGAGAGATTTTTCTCAGTGAGAGAAGTTTTAAAAAAGATATTGTTTTGGAGAAACTTATTTGAAAATTATTGTCCAGGATTGTTTGTTCGAAACTATTGAGTTTGCAGAAATTCTTCGACTTAGTTTTGCGTACGAGGAAGTTTTCCCTTTTTATGGTAGGTTGTGCATTTCTGCTCAAAATACTAACAATGACAACGAACAAAACACAGTCTTTTAAGAAAAGACTTAATAATTAAATATCTGATGATATTATTTATATCATTTATTCATGTCAAGATCCACCGGTTCAACCAAAGCTTATTTCTAATACAAGAAATCATGAAAAACGATCACTCATGGCGGATGCGTTTGATGGACGATCATGGCTAGACAACTCAATTCAACAAATGTCGTAGTTACTGTTATTATTGTCATCATTTCAGTGTACTAATGTCGTCATCAGATAAAAAGTCTCACACTGATGCATTCGTCAATAATCGACTTCAACATTGGAAAAAACCTCTTGATAAATCGAAAGATTTTGATCGATATTTAAAAAGTCACAGTCATATTTTAGCAGGAAGCAATTATGCAGATTGTCTACAACACACACAATCACAACGAAATGTTATATTTATGCTAGACAAAGGTAGAATGAAACAAATACGTCGAAATCGAGAGCGACTAACGAAAATTGCATCAGCCCTATTATATGTACTTAAACTTCTTTATTGTTTTCGTTACATTGTCGGAAGAGAACTCAACCCGCTCATATTCAGCTTCATGAAAAATAGGGAGCTGAGTCCCTCCTACGAGATTTTTCTGGCTACGCTCCTAGTTAGAATAATTGTTTGATCGAAACCAACAGACAAATATCGAAGACTATATAAATAACGTTTTACTCTATCAGATGAATGCTGGAATCGTATTGTTTACTAAAATAAAACAACAAAAACAAGTCTAAACTTTCAGTACACAATAAACAAATCGAATGTTATGGCCTAATGTACATACTTAAAGTGTCTTTATACAACGTAAAGTATGATTGATGTATTGTGACTCATTGCACTAGCTTCTATGCTTTGCTAGTAGAAAAAAGACAACGATCAATACTGACAGAAGAGTACGTTCTTTGAATACGTTACTCAAGTAAACATACAACCTTACCTATTTTACATTTGTAAAGTACGTTATGTTATCGGTATAGTATAAATACAATGCTCTTACTTCATATTATTATCCATAAAACAAATATACATATTTCTCAATTAATAACAAGATGCCTCCTCTTCAAGAAACAAATGGACATATCAATCAAACATTCACCAATATTCAGCATGATGACACCAAGAAATCCAACAACGATTCACAAACTCAATTTGTTATAGAAATACGTGGAGGTGATACATTACAAGTTCAAATGTCAGTTGATGGTGCTCGAGCATTAGCAACATTATCTCCACGTATTACTGTTACTTTTCATAATGTTTCGAAACTTATCAATGTTCCTGCAAAAATGATTGATCCTTCATCTAAAGAAAGATTTATTCAACGAAAATTACTTGATCAAGTTTCAGGACAAATTTATCCAGGAGAATTAGTTGCACTTATGGGACCGTCAGGTTGTGGCAAAACGACATTACTAAATACATTAGCTGGTCGAGCATTAAATGGTGTTACTGGTGATATTTGGTTTAACAATCAACGATATGATAAAAGTATGAAAAGAAAACTAGCTTATGTTCTTCAACAAGATTTATTTTTTGAAAAACTAACTGTTAAACAACAATTAACATATACAGCTTTACTTCGATTACCAAATAATTTATCTAAACAAGATAAATTAGCACAAGTTGAACAAATTATTGATCAACTAAGAATTCGAAAATGTGCTGATACTCCAATAATGTTAATATCTGGTGGAGAAAAGAAACGTGTAAATATTGGTACTGAATTATTAACAAATCCAAGTGTTATTTTTCTTGATGGTAAGCCATTTGTACTCTTGAATTTTTTGATTGTAAATGATTTTTCTAATGTTAATGTAGAGCCAACATCTGGCTTGGATAGTACATCAGCTGTAGCATTGATAGATGTTCTTCGTGATCTAGCAATGCAAGGCAAAACAATTATTACATCTATTCATCAACCATCATCTCAAATTTTTCAATCATTCGATCAACTTATTCTTTTAGCAGATGGAAAAACTATTTTTATGGTAAAGTTCATCATACATTTGTTCTATCAAAACACATCCTTCTTCTTCTTTTTTCTAGGGTAAACCATGTGATGCATTACCTTATTTTGCTACAATGGGTCATCATTCACCACCACAATACAATCCAGCTGATTATGTTATGGATCTTGTTAATCAAGATATGAAAATTCGTGAACAACTGAAAGAAGCATATCTACAAAATAAAATAACTGGAAATATTAACACTATATCTAATCAATTACAATCACAATATTCATCAACTACAAGACAATATTTATTAGCTGAACCATCTGGAAATGAAGCTGATCTAACTAATCCAGATAATGGCAATTTAATACCAAATAAACATGAAAGTAAATGGTCTATTGGATTTTTACAACAAATGTTAATTCTTTTCTCACGTGCATTTCTATTAACTGGTAAAAGTCAATTTACACTTCTTAATTTTGCACAAGCCTTAGGTTTAGCAGTTATTAGTGGTTTATGTTGGTTAAGAATGGATTTTTCGGAAAATACAATACCTGATCGGTCATCATTCATATTTTTTCTTATGACATTTTGGCCATTACAAACAATGATGCATGGTTTATTATCATTTCCATTTGAACGTACAATTATTGAAAAAGAACGTGCAAGTGGATCATATCGTTTATCATCGTATTTTGTTGCTAAATCATTAGCTGAAGCACCACTTAAACTTGTTTTACCAACATTATTTCTTATTATAGCTTATTGGATGGCAAATATCAATTCAAATTTTGGAATTTTTCTTGCTATTCTTGTATTTCAACTACTATCAATTCTTGTAGCTGAATCACTTGGTCTTCTTTTGGGTGCAGCATTCAAAAATTTACAACATGCAATGACAGTTGCAACTGTACTTCTCATTGGTTTG